TTCCTCCATTTCCTTCTACCTCATCTTTCCAGATTTGATGGATCCTACAACTTAAGGAGTCTGCTCATCTGAAAAATTCCCCAGGCTCTGCTTACTTGTTGGAGCTTTCACGGTTCTTGTGGCTTCATTTTGATGGAAAACTTCATATACTGCCTCTCCAAAGAACCAACAAGAGCGGTAATGAATTCACAGGTATTATTGTTTCTTCTGTCATGCAAGAAGTATTCATGCAACCACGGCCACTTTGCAACATATATTTTATTTCTAAGAGATTAATCTACACAACAAAGCCTCGGTGGACTTCTTTCTTTCCCTCTCCAAAGAACAGCTCCCAAAGAAAACTCCTACCACACTTCTGTCCTCTGAGCCCAAGTAAGCTAGTGGAAGAGCCCAGTTAACTCTTATATTGGCTGAGAGGGGAAGGATGCATAGTAGACCTTCCCAGCAGGAGCCCTGAGGACCAAACATACCTCTTGCTGTTACAAGGCATTCTGTGTGGTTGCCCTCCACATCACTACTAGGGTTGTGGGCCTAATCTTGCAGTCTTTGCTTAAACAACGCTCCCATTGACTTCCACAGAACTTCTGTCTGAGTAAGGACCCAAGATTTGGCCCAGGAGTTTATAAAAAAGCCTCTCAGCTTTCAAATGTAGATGATTAATGTCCCAGAAACAGTGGGCAGAGGTTTGGCACTCTGTACAAAACTGACTTAAAGCTGAAATTTTCCTCCTCTTTCTCAGCCTCTTTGCAGACATGGGCTTTGAAAGCCATCAGTCTATGAGATGCTGCATTGTATCCATCATGCGAACATCTCACCTGCCTCTGGACTCAGCTGAAGCACAGAAGAGACCGTGCAAAGGGCTGAGACTAGAGATCTACAAGTTGCCTTCTGTCCCTGCAAGCCAGCAAAGCTTTTTGCTTGCAAGTTTTGCACGCCACTTAAATACAACACTTAAAACCTCCTCACTGAGATTGCTCCCTCCGTTACAGCTTGCGTTCAGAGACGCAGAGCTCCTCTTTCTGAAAGCCTGACTTACACAGCCTGCCTTCCTTCAAAACCCATTCCTTTACAGGTTCTGACATAAAAAGGGGTATCCTGAGCCAAAACAGTGGCTCGAGCCTGCAGCACAAGCCTGAACATAGGGAAGCAGCTGGGCATCTGTGACTCTGAACAGTCTGGAAGAAGAAATGGATAGCATGCTGAAGCTGAGGCAACAATGCACATTCTCTTTTCAATGCCAGTATGGCATGCTCTGCACACAGCTCTGTAACTGGTGCCCTCTCCCACTACTCCAGAAGCAATTCCCTGGCTTGGAGCATGGCACGTACAAGCAAGTGGGCAGTCCCCGAGAATACATTTCCAAACTGTGGAGTGCTGCTGTGTAAACAGACAGAGGAGGAACGAAGGGTGCAAAGCAAGGAACAGATGGAGGTAGGGTCAAAGTAGCAAAACAGTGTAATCCCAGAAAGTAAAAAAAGAATTATTTCCATTGGGCTCACAGATAAACAGTAAGCAGTAAACATCAAATTCTGCCAAGCTATATTGTAAAGACGAGGACTCCAGATGCACCCTCTTAGTGTCTTTAAAATTCAAAAGACGCCTGAAGGAGATTTTAGTTTGCATAGGGACCCACCAGTGGGAAATGACATTGCAACACACTAGGCTATGCCAGTGCATATCAATCTATACACTCTTATTGGGCAGTGAGCAAGGCAACTGGCAGAAAGCTGGCCTAAGCACAGGAAATTCCCAGCCAACAGACTGAGCTCTCGCTCAATGACAGTGCCCTGTTTGCACAGCCACAGTGCTGTCAGCACAGTCAGGGACAGGTTGCAGGAGAGATGCCACTTTCAGCCCCTTCCCGTGGAGAAGTAGGCTCCTGAAAGGACTGAGTGCAGGGCAAGCAAAAGAGAAAACTTTTTAGTCAGGGAATAAGCTTCTGTCTTGCTCAGCAGCCATATGTTCAGATGGGACCAAGGGCAAAGAAGGATATGTTCCAGCTTCAGTCATGCTCATGTGAATCATTAATCACCACAAGGACTGGGGAGAGGCTTTGGATTTATATCCACACAGCTTCTTTCAGAAACTGGCCTCAAAATAAAATACAGAGAAACAGAGAAAATGCAAGAATGATAAACCATGACTGAGATGAATATACAAAAGAAGTACCACCTCCTTTTGCGTAACGTTCAAACAGAAAGAATATAGAGATGAATATCAAAATGATCCTACACATCCAGCCCAACATCCAGAACTGTTAATGGCTGCTTCCCTCTCTGTTTGCTGACCCAAAGTGTTGCAGGATGGGATCACAAGTGGCTCTGCAAAGGCAGGGAACACTTGGGAATTTCTGGTGTTGTGCTTTGGCTGGGAAAGTAAAATGGAGCAGTTGGCGAAGAAGAACTCAGGCTAGAGGAAAAAGTTCAAAATATGCCAGATTTTGCATGATACACTAAAGAAGATGAAAAAGTACTTGAGAGCAGAGAAAGTTGCAATGAGATGAATTAGGAAATAAGAATAGATGAATTTCTGTGCTCCAGACCAGGGCTGTTAGCCAGTCAGCAAGGTCAGGTCTGGTAACAGTAAAGAGTGAAAACCAGGCTAAAAACACGCATGGAGGGAGGTAGCAAGGGAAGGGGCAGCCACATGTGAAAGGAGGTCATATTGCTGAAAGAAGGCAAATGGGGAAATGAAACACCAGGCTTAACCCAAGCTGGTGGAGAGCGGAAGCTTTGAGGGAGAAAGGGAAAGAAGAAACACAGCAGCCGATGACAGCTCTGCAATAAATGGGACAAGAAAAGGAAATGACAACTGGATCTGGAAGGAAGTCTGATGAGAAGGGGCTTTTCTTCACCAAGGAGGGCAAGAATGACTTTGAGAAGAGTGGCAGTGAAATACAGTAACAACATTTCTATAATGCAAATGCGGATAGTAGCTTGCTAATAAACTGCGAATGAGGTAGAAAACTGGGAATGAGGGCTTGGGTAAGACCTCTGCTTTCAAAACTGCAAGGGGTTGTGGGTCCTTCTCAAAATCAAATGACAACCCCGTAGTTTGCGGAAAATCGGATAAGAAAATAAAATCTACAGCCAGCATCATGTTGTGCTGTCTTTTAGGAAAATCCATGTGCAGTCAATTATGTCTTTCATTTGCAAGAAAAGAAAGAAACTCTAACTTGTTGTCTTCTTAAACTCTACTTGGAGGACCTTGGTTCATGCATAGCATGAGATGCGTAACATGAGCAGCAAGTCACACAGTGGAAGCACATGAGACAAGTGCATGACCGGGCTAAGGGCTGGAACTCTTTCTGTTTTGGATCTCAGTAAATGAACTAGCAACGCATGGAGCTAACCATCAATGAATTCATGGAGGGAGTGGAAAGAAACCATGGACTTTGGAAAGTCCTTCATGGCCCACAGTCCTGCAATGGTATGATTACACAGAAAACTTCAAGGGCAAAGGATTACAGAGAAGAATTTCAAAAGTTAAATCACAATGAAATCTAGGTTACTCAAGAAAATGTCCTCTTGGATTAAAAAAAAACAAACCCAAGCTCCAGAACCCCCCAAAACCACTAATGTAGAAGGCAAAATGGCAAAAGCAATGGAAGAACAAAAGAGAGAGAAGATTGGTCTGGTCTGGAAGACAACATCAAGGTATGTTGGAGGATGATGGCTGATGGCATTGTGAGGATCCAGACAAACATGGGAAAGAAAGAAGAAAAAGCGCAGTGCGAATGAATCATGAGAAGGCAAAGAAAGAAGGCAAAGCTCACGTATCAGATTAACCCTGATGTAAAAAGTTAATTAGTCTAGAAATGTCTGATGAATTACCAAAAGTGATCCTGCAGACTTCCAGCAGTATTTCTGTTGAGTCCTAGGGTCTTCTGCCTGAAAAGGATCATGCAGCGATGGGAAACGAATGGAAAGCTTGAGCATCTTGGTAACCAAGTCAATTACCCTAACACTGCCCAGATACAACTCTAAAACAGATCACCTGAGGTAGGCAAAATCAGCCTGCATAGTAAAAGAAAGCAGCAGGCATAGCACTGACATTCATACCCAAAAGCTGCACCATCTTCTTTTCCCCTCTGCAAATATGCAGACAGAACAGTTCCTATCACACAGGACTAGGTATGTAAATCTGTAATGAATTCAAACACTAAGCCATGTACTACTTGATGATAACCCTGTCAAACACTGCATGCTGTTTGTCTGTTCCAGGACTAGCTTCTAAGAGATGGTCTAAATGTTAGTCCTCTGGATGAAAATTAAAGAGTAAATTTATTTTGTGAAAGTCACTGTGAAAACAAACAAAAAAGCGTTTTGCAGACAGGTATAAATTCAAATCTGCTCTTCCACAGAAGCAGTTATTCCCATCTAAGTCTTCAGAAACTATTCATCCAAACATACAACAAAAGAGGAGTGTAATAGTTCCCTGCTTTCTTGGAGTGAAGGAAACATCTAAATGTTTAATAACTGTCATTCCCTATGCTTCAACAATGTGGCAGCACCACAAACATGTTAAAATACAATTTTTACTTTTTATCTGGACAGCATCCAGCTAATGAAAAATTTACAAACACACTAATTTAATGCATTAGCCAAACACATTTTGAGCTAATGTGTCGTAACAGCTTCTGGTATTGTGGCTGTCCCACATATGTCCTTACAACCTGCGGCTCTTAAAAAAAATGGTGAACAGGGCAAAGTAGAAAATCATATGATCTACTCCAGCCTTACTGACTTCACTGGAAAGGAACTGCACATTATTAGGAGTTAGGACTGCAACTGCACTACAGTTCCCGACTGCAAGGATTGTTTCTCTGTAGTTCTGGAGCCTGATCCATGATGCCCTCTGCAAACTGCCCCACCAGCTTCAGTGCTCTTCCCGCATCATGTAAGGATGGAAGGAATGAAAAGCCTTTGTACCACCAGAAATTAATGTGCCCTCCTAACCACACAGCAAGCAGCAGGTACAAGCAGAACACCTTGGCCTACCTGTGGCACAAAGGGCAATGAACGTTTGTGCATGCTTCCGGATCAAAAGCAACTTGTCTTTAGGTAGAGGCAGCTTCCTTAGGATGTGTTCAATGAAATCATGCGGGGTGACAGCTGCGAGGTTCCACTTCAACTTCCCCAGCACCACCAGCTCCCATTCCTGCAGGGTGGAGAGAAGGGAGAAGCTGTAAGCAGTACTGAAAAAAAACTCCCAAAGCCCCTGTCACCTATTTCCTTGATTGTAATTATATCGCTGCTGAACTGGTCTTGCTCAAACATTTTTTTCCATATGCCCCTAGTGCTTTGAAGTTGTTGACTTTATTTTTTTTTTTTTTTCTTTTTAACACTGGAAATGTCAAGCTCTACTGAAAATAATGAGACCTGGCAGCTCTTGCCAAGGTTTTACTTTTTTTTTGTATCCAGTGCTGAATGCCCACCCAGAAAGTTTAGCCTGCAATTAGATATTGCCAAGGTCACTGTGGTCCTTTCCTAGCAACTTTTTTTTAAATGGCTGTAGTCCTTACTTTATAGCCATTTAAAGCCCTTAGGATAACCATGCACAAAAATGACCTAGATATGCATGCTTTTTTCCAAGACTGGGGAAGTTAGCTTGATGGCATTCTCTCCCAAAACTGTATTCAAAAGCGCCTGCAGATAAATCTGATGGTACTTAAATGACTCCAAGACAGGCTTTGCAAAAAGGAAACGCACACAATGCAGCCAAGAAGTAGCCTGTGTAAATTATCTGCCAATATATCATGCAGGATACATTCCCACATTCTTTGTACACCCAAAACTCCCAGTGAAATCAAATAAAAGCTTGGGTGGGTATGTAACTACTGGCTATTCCCTACAACGGGATTACGTGTAGAAATAGTACCTAATGAACACATCTAGCCGTGGGGTTCAACCAGGGCTAGACCTGCATCCTTCAACATTCAAAATAGGTTTTGAATACCTCACAGTGCCCTGCAGTGAACAAAGCTCAGGCCTTGGACTTGCTTCTGTCTCATGCATCAACTATTAGCTATTAACTAAATTCCATGCACTGATTCTTGAGTCCTGATGATACGTGAGGCTGATGGAGCTCAGCATGGTGGGGAGCCCCAGCTAAGCTTGTAGAGCTGGCAAGTTGAAAAAAAAGCAGCCCTTTTGCAGCTGAGGAGATGTCAACTGGCGTTGCTGAGAAACCATAAACATGGACCCCACAATGCCATTTCTGCCGTCGTTTCTCTGAATAGATGCCCACTTTAACAGCAAGTTACTTTCCTACGGACATTCCTACTGGATTATGAAAGAGCTCTCCATAGCCTGGAAAACCTCATGTTCACATATGTAAAAGGCCCCTAAAGATAGATTGGGTTTTTCTGCTTCCTCAAGAAAACCCATAAAATGTTTGCACATAATGGCAACTACGTTAACTAAGGACTGATCTTCCCAACATCACTAATGCCACAGGTTTTGATATAGAAGAGCACTTAACCTAGATGATACAGGGAAGCACTTAAAATACATGCTTAAACTCATGTGGCACAAAAAGGTAGGCACATCCTTCCATGGTTTCTCACATGGGGGCTGCAGCACTTCCCATGGCAGCATGTACCACTGACAGCATTCACCACGAACGGGACTCCTCATGCGTGCCACAGCCATGTCAGGGTTTGCAGCACACAACTCTTCACTCTGCAGAAGCAGGAGCTCCCAACCCCTCCCTGGGGGAATTCCCACCGCCTTCGCCCACTGATTCACAGGAGAAATTCTCCTGCGATCCAGCCGGACGATGTGCACTGACCAGGATCCATGAGCATACAGCCAGCTGAGAACACATCTCACCCAGAGCCATAAATACCTGCCTGGTGCTCTGCACCACGAAGCACTCTTCCCTTAAATAATGCTGGTGTTTTTTTTCTGCCTTCACCATGCCCGAATTGATCCTGAACTACCAGATATGGCCTTTTACACCGGGGGCTGCTTAACCAAGATGCGTTTTTACCTCACCACCTGCACGAGTGGTAACCTACCGGGTAGCAGTGTGGAGACACAGGGCTGTGGCTCCCCACCTCACAACCCAGCCACTCACCGGCGGGCACCACGGCCCCTCCCGGACACCATCCCACTGCCATACCCTCCCCATCCCCTTGTGCTCCATCACCAGGGAGAGGCACTCCCGTTGCCCCGGGCCACGGCCGGGAACCCCTCACCTCTCCCCGCCTCACGCCCGCCCCGCCCGCCGGGGGCGCGGGGCCGCCTGGCAGCCGCTCAAGGGGTGAAGTCACGCCCGGAGCCGCGTGTCTGCCGCCAGGTGGCGCCGCCGCGCCGCGCCGCCCGCCCCCCGCGCACGTGCGCCCAGGCGCCCTGCCTGCCCGGCGAGGTCCCCGGTGCGGGAACACCCGCACCCACCGGGGTCTATGGGACACAAGCACGCACACACACGCACGGGGGACACGGCACGGACATGGCAAAACCCTTCACCAGTGGGGCAGGAAGCGCCGCTGGGGTGGCTGCGGAGGAGGCTGAGCCCACCGGGAAGTCCCGCGTGTGTGTGTGTGCGTGCACGTGTCCCCCAAACCAGTCTCCCTGCGGCTTCGGGTCGCCCCCTTTCCGAGTGTTCAGCACTTTTTGACATGGAAAGCGTGATTTTGTAGAAGGTGGGGGGGGGGGGGGTGACACAAGTGATGGCTTCGCCGTGTGAGAAAAGGAGAAGGAAGAAAGCGGCCAGGGCAAGCTGCCGGAGAGGTGGTGAAGAGGGAAGGGGAGGGGGGGGGCTGCTTACCAGCAGCTCTTGGGGTTTGATGGAATTGTCCGTATATATGCACAGCTTCTCGGCTGTGAGGGGGATTGTCTCTTTCAGCTTGGAGGCCAGGAACATGCACACTGCCCCCAGCAGTTGCAGATGGCACTTTCGAGTGGGCACCACAGCTAAGAATCTGTCCAAGTAATTCATGGCCAAAGGGAAAACTTCTTCTTCGCACTTCTGCTCTTCACAGACCTGCAAGCGAGGGGAGCGTGGGGAGGACGGGGCAGCGGGATGGGGGTGGAGAGAGGAGAGAAAAGACACAAGGAAAAAATAAATAAATGAGTGATCCCACGAAACAGACCACTGCCTCCCCGCTATGGCTCCTGCTATTTTTGTTTCCCGGGGAGCTAAATTTTGGGGGAGGGGGAGATCTCTGGAGAGGCTGGGAAGGCTGTCAATCGGCTTTCACATTCCTTTAGTTCATTCAGTAAGAAATGAATTCAAGACACTGTGTGGGAGAGCCGAAGAGCCCCATCCAGCAGCAAGCGAGCAGTCTCCGACTTTTTTTTTTTTTTGCGACCCAATTTTTTACTTTTTTTTTTTTTTTTTTTGATTTCGTCATATTTTCAAAAAATCGATAAAAATATCACAACTTCCCCGGGGGTCCCGGTTTTGGTGCTGATGGCATCCCGGGACGGTCCCCTGTCGTTTCCGACAATTGCAAAAATTCCCTCGGGGGGCGTCCCCCAGCCCTGCGCCCCCGATCCGGCGGGGGGGGGGGGGAAGGACGGGAGACACAGCGAGGGCGAGGTGGGGTGGGGAGAGCCTGAGCAGGAGCGAGCGAAAAATTACTTCAAAAATTTACCAAAAATCGGAGCAAGGGAGAAAAAAAAAAATTCGCACATGAAAACCAAGCGGGGGCTCTGGGCTTTCCAACGCAGGAGGTTTGGTCCGGGAAAGGTCCCCCCCAAAGTAGATCCGAAAGGGCAAATGATGGGCGGTGGGGCCAGGGCAAGGCAAGAGAGACTGCGGGGATCTGGGCCCGCTGCCGCCCCGCCTGAAGTATCGGGGCGAAGGGGGGGTTCGCCGCCAGCTCTGGCTTACCGACAGATCCCCGCCAGGCCGAGAAGGAAAGGGGGCGCGGCGGCGGGATACATTTCCGAACCCCTTCTGGAAAGGGGGGGGTAGACGGGCTCGGAGCCTCCGAGCACAGTTGCATGCAACGCAACATGGCGAAAAAAAGGCACGTCCTCACCACTGCATACGTGGGCATGAAACCCTCGCTGGGCAAAACGCGGGGGGCACCGAGCACCCCCAGTCCCTTGCCCTGCCCGGGCGCAGCTCCCTTTTCCCAGAAAAGCCTCATTCCCAAGCGCTCGCGGCAGCCCGCCGCCGGAGGCGGCTTTTCTTTTGCTTTTTAATTGCAAATGACTTTTCCAACCCCCCATCCCCTGCTTCCTCCCCTCCTGCACCCCGCTTTGCAGCAGCCCCCCGGAAAGGGCGATTTCCCCCGTGGGCTGTCGATGCTCCCTGCGCCCCTTCCCCCACCGCACCTCTCGGCACCGCACCGGGTGAGCGCAGGAGGGGGAGGAGAAGGGGCACACACACTCAGAGAAGAAGAAACCCCACCACGACCGGAGGGCCGAGAGGCTGCAGGGGGAGGGGGGCCGAGGCGAGGCGGAGGTGCTGCCGCCCGCGACCCGCCGCACCGAGGGGCCGGGGGAAGGCGCCGGGATACTAACCTCCAGCATCCAAGTGGCTACCATCCTCCTCATGAAGGGCTGGATGTCCTTCTGGACGCACTTGAAGTAGGAGCACTGAGGCAGATACCTCTCCTCTATGGTTAGTAAGTTGTGCAAAACGCGGTCATCGTAGAGCAAGTTTGGGTCAGGGAGAGCTCTCCTCATGGGATCCACCTCGCAGCACAGCAGCTCCATGTTTCCAAAGAGATCTCCCTCTTTCTCTGATGGGAAAGGTTTCCTTTTTTTTTTTTCCCTTTTCCTTTTTTTTTTTTTTTTCGGGGGGGGGGGGGGGGGGGAAGGGGGTGGGGAAAGGAGGGGGTAAAGGAGGAGGGGTAGGTGGGTGGGAGGAAGGCGGCAGCAGGGCTTTCCAGCCCGCTCCTGCCTCCCTTCTCTCCCTCTCTTGATTTCTAGCCTAAAGTTGAGGCAGTGACGCAACTCGCCGGGGCAGGCAGTTCTCTCTCTTGTTATTATGGAGAACAGCAGCTGGTCAGACGTAACATCAAACGCTTTTTTCTTTCCCCCCCCCCCCCCCATAAGCTAACAAGGAACCAGGAGGCCCTCGTATAGGGACACACACATACAAATGACAGCTTCTCTTTTGCTTCCTTCCAGCGACTAAATGAAATCCGCTCCACACTTTCCTTCTGCGGGAGCTCGTCTGAATCTATTTCCCCCTCCTTTTCTTGTAGCAAGAAACTGAGGGCTCCCTCTCGATACCCACCGCGACGATGAGGGCGATGGATGCCATGGCCTAGCGGGGTCCCGTCCCACACCCCACACGCACCCCCCCCAAGCCGTTGACCCACTCTTCCCTCCCGCACCCCCTTAATCTGCAGCCGGAGGGGGACAGGGCTCCGTGCTAACTGCAGCCTGCTGCAAACCCGAAAAAGACCCCACTGATCCTTGAGCGGTGGTGGTTCCCCGGCGTTTTCGGGGTGCAATCTAACAATAATCACCGCTGCTTCCTCTGGCACATGTAGGCGTTTCTAGCAGGCGAACCGTTTTAGCAGTGCACGACGACACTGATAAAACTTTCTAGGAAACGGAGCGGAGGAGGGAGGAGGGAGAGAGGTTGGCGGGGGGATGGGGTGGGATATGTTAGGGGAGTTATGTCCCGCACCGGGTGACTTGCACCCTCCTCGCACTTCGCCGGCGTCGCAGTCGCTCCCCGCCTGCAAAATGTGTCAACTTTGCGAAGTCTCTACCGCTGTCTGCTACGGTCGAGCGGAGGCTCCCGAAGGGGAAAGAGCTGACCGAGGCCGGCCGGGGACGAGCTGCCCGGGCGGCCGCGCAGCGAAGCGGCCCCGCGGGGCATAAGAGGATCTCGCTTCCCGGAACCGCCGTCTTGCCCCACAGCCCCCACCTCCCACCCACCCCCCCCCCGCCGGGACACCGCAGAGGTGGGCTTGGCGACGGGGAAAGAAATACCGCCTTAAAAGAGTGAGTGGGGAGTTTGGGGCGCCGCTTCCCCTCCCTCCATTTGCATAGCCAATAGCTCTGGGTCTCTCGCCGCTGCGCGCTGATTGTTACCGGGCAGATTTTATTTTAAGGACGCATGCTGCCCGGCATCGAAAGCAGCCCCGAAGGGCAGGGGGCGAAGTGGAGCCCCGTCACCTGGTCGCACTGCCGGTCTCGGGAGCCACAAGGTCCTTGCTGTTATCGGGAAAGGCGGGCTACCGGCCGTTGTTGCCCGCGAGCGGACAAACGCGTCCCGTCGCACACCAGCTCTCTCCCCTCTGCATCAAAACGGATGAGAGGGACGGGACCGGCTGTGCCGTGGGTTGCATCTCTTCGGACTCCAGCCCTTGCAAAAACCGTCTGGGACGGCTCGGCACCTAAGCCGCCTGTCGGAGCACTGCTACTTCGCCGACAGAAAGCCGTCAGGACTCCCCCTTCCCTCTCCCCCTCGTGCCCCGGTAACTCGGAGTCGGCCCGGGACAGCCGACCTCTGCACGCGCTGCTAGCAGCATTTCCCCGCAGAATCAGCTCCGTGCCCCCACCTCCCGTCCCGTCACCGAATCGGGCAGCTCCTGGCCACTGCCGAATCGCGGCAGCAGCAGCGCCGTCCGGGAGCTGTCGGGCACCGTGTGTGGCCCATCGTACCCGCACCCCCCGAGGCGGGAGCTTACCGGGGACGAGCCCGCTGTAGGCGGAATTGGGCAGACTTTGACCAGCAAGGCTCGCGTTTTACGAGGGCGAAGGAAAGGAGCGGGGAGGGGGCACCCCCCGGCGTACGTCGAGGGCGGCGAGCGGGGACCCGCTGCGTCGCGGCGTGCTCCGCAATGAAAGGCTCTTTAACTTCCACCATTCATTTCCCCTTCCTGGCTACTCCTGTGAACAGGGAGCGTGTTGTGTCAGCGCACGTTTTCCTTCTCCAAACTTAAATTCATAAGCGCTCCCGTCTGGCTTTGTAGCCCGACAATGCAGCGATTGTGATTTATGTGGGTTTCGGGCGGGAGGACAACGGGTGTCCTAATTGTCCGGCACGGACTTTCCGAAGTGGGGTGATGTCTGGGGCACTACGCGGCTGCCGGCGCGGGGACCGGGGGAGGGATGGGGGCGGCCCCCTGCACCCCGCGACGGGGCGGCCGCGGGGGTGGCAGCCACGGGTCCCGCGGGCGGGCCGCAGCCACCCCACCACCTTCCTGGGAGGGATGGGAGGCTCCCTTTAGGAAAAAAAAAAAACAAACCAAAACCTAAATCAATACATAGAAGCATGCCAGCTTTGCACGTGGAGGTGCAGCAAAAAAACACCACCAAACACCGCTTTCCCTGGTGCGACGGCTTCTGTATACGCGGTACCCTTTTCCAACGGGGAAACACTGGCCCTCCGAAACGCGGCCGCGGAAGCCAAGGTTCCCGATGTGCCCCTTTGCCTTGTCCCCGTGCCCACGGGCGCTGCCGCATGCGTTTGGAGGCAGCAGATGTTTTAACAGCCTCCGTGTAGAGATTACCGAGTGCCATATGTTAAATGCCACCCTCCCTCCGGAAAAAAAAAAAAGAAGAAAGAAAAAAAGGAAGAAAAAACTACTTTTCGCACTCGCTCCCAATCTTTTGGTGAGCTGCCTCGCCCGTTCAAAAGCACAAATGATTCAATCAGATACCGCCGGTAGGTGTTTTTTTACCCCGGCGGTCCCGGGACTACCGTGCGCTCAGCCCTAGGCGGGCGCTCCCGCGGAGCAGCGCTGCGCCTTGCGAGGAGCCGCGGCCGCGGTGGGATCAGCGCTCCCGAGGTCGGACAGCCCCCCCCCCCCCTTTCCTCCCCTTCCCCGTTCACAGCCTGGCGGGAAGGGGCTGTCCCGCTCCCAGCCTTACCGCAGCCGCCGGGGGGCAATGCCGCAGTCCCTGCTGCTGCCCTGGGGAACCCCTCTTCTGCGGGTCGTCAAGTCTGGAGTCACGGAGCCTCATCATCAGCGTGACACATAGTTACCATCAAATCTGTTCTGTGTAATGGCATTTTGTTGATGTTAGTCGGAGAGCGCTGCAAAACGCGGCGACTCTTGGCTTTTTTAAAAATAGATCCTTAATTCGTCATCATTTCTATTTATTTAATTTCTTTTCTCTGCACATCCCGGAGAACAATCTTGGAAGATGCTTCAGGGGACAGTATGAGATCAAGCTTTGCATTCGAACCGCAGACCAATAGACGCATGTTGTGTGTGCGCCCCGGCAGCCACAGGTTTTTTATTTGTTTAAATGAAGTAAGTATTCCCTTGCAGTGCTTGAAACCTGAAGGCTGGAGTGTGAAACATGAGAATCTGAAAGTGAAACCGACTGGAAGCCAAAAAAGAAACAGATGAATGTGTTTCCACCGTCCAAGCTGAGGAAAGCCCCGAAAGCAAACAAATACGTGAATAATAAAATATGCAATAGATTTGGAATAAACCATTCCAGCTTCAGTCACTGGAAGCAGTCTATCCTGGTGGTTTCTTTTTGTTTTTTTAAATTCTTTCTTTTTTTAATAACTGATTTTTTTTTTTTTTTTTTTTTTTTTGCTGTTCAAAGGTAAATTCCTTAATTCTGTGATGTGCAGGAACAATATGATAAAAACTATCTTTTCTTTTCTTTCCTTTGGTTTCTGATTAAAGACCAGAAGAGGATTTGGATGCTGCAGGAAATGCTGCACACTGCCCATGTATTTTCAAGCAGTTATTTTTAATTGTACAGGCAATTTTCAGCTTTAAATACCTGAGTAGTGGCAGCTTTATCAGTTACAGCCACCTTAAGTACAGCCAACATAAGTACTGAGCAGGTGAAATATATCCTGTAATAAAACTATATTTGCCTTTAGAGGGTGATTTTATGCAGGCAGAACAATTACAGCATTAACTAACGAATTCTGTGTGATTGCTTAACATATTTTTAATTATTTACTCCTTTCTGGTTTATGCAAAGTTTCTTCTTTATCCTCTCTTATTCCTTGGCTTAAACTTCTATAGAGCAGAAAGGAGAGACTGTATCTATGCAATACCCAGTGCAAGGAGTGCACAGCTCCACTGATAGATTCCTTCATTAGGTGAGATGGGTAGGGACTCCAAAAAGAGCTTCAAGAGTGATCATATACCTGGGAATCATGTTTTAGGCTGGAAGACTTTGTAAATTCATCACAGCCCAAAGACACTCCCAGGTTTGACACAAATGTAAACTAGAGAAATCTAGACAAATTCAGGGAGATTTAGGGTGGTAGAGCAGGTAGCGGTACATTTAGGCTAACCACAAAGTGAACATTTTAACTGCAACTTTACTAATCCCTTGATATTTTATTCAGGACTGTGTTTTTAAGGTTAGGTGGGTTAAAACCTTAAAAAAATATATTGTACCACAAATCGCAGTTGCAGAGTTGGAGGAGAAGTTACTGAGTGGGGTTGTGTGACCAGTGTGTAACCCAAGCCCAGAATCAGATACATAATCTCCATGATGTGTTCTGGCCTTAAAATTTTTTCATCTGTCAATCTGTATAGAACCTATAGCCTGTGATAACATGGGCACATTCAGTATTCAGGTGAGATCTCACAGTTTTCCTGCAGCAAAGGAACTGAAAGCAATGAGAAATTTCTGCTGGAGCTGAAAGTCTTGGATTGGGATTTTTCTCATTAGATGGGAAACAGGGAAATTTTTGTGTTGCTTAACTCTGGTGGTGCCACAGCCTTATCTTGCAGGGGTGCCACGTCCCTTGCAGTGAGTGCTGCCGACTCCATCCTCTCCTTGATGAGCTGGATGATAAGGCTGTGAGTGGTTTACAGAGAGCAGGAGCACATAACAGGTGCCTCCCCCATGCCAGGAAGTCAACTGAAAGGGAGAGCTCTTGACATTTGTTACAGGATCGGGCCCCTGGTATGCAGAACTGTACAGAAACACCATCATTTATTCTTTCTTACTAGGTGGTGTGGGGGGAAAAAAAGTTGTCTTTTGGAGAAGATATTTGAAAGAGCAAGAACAGTTCTGGCAAGTTGCAGGTATGAGCTGTAGATATCTCTTCCATCATTAACAGTATGATAGGATCTGAAGGTGACCGAATCCTTTTTTTTGTTTTGTTTTGTTTCCTTTGCTTATGAATCAGCTCACTTTTCTGCTTAAAATAGACGTTGCTGTTAACCTCTTGCATTCTGCTATGTGATTTCCCTGCTCTCTGGGAGGTTTGTATCAGTCGTTAGTTCAATGCTGGCTTTGACATTAAATGCATGATCATTTTTGCTTTCCAGACTATTAGAAGAGATTAATAAAAGACTATGTACCCAAGACTTCAGCTGTTCTCTAATTTTTGAAGCATCCTGCTGTCACACACCTTCCTTCAAAAGTAATGTTCTGACTTTTCTCTGTGGTCGCAGATGTGGAGCTTCAATTCCATTTTATTTTCTTTCCATCTACACTGAGGCAAAGATTTTACATTTAATATATGTGTGTAGCATGCCCAGGTCTAAACAGACAGGGAAGGGAGAGGTAGCCCTTCAGAGCAAATTGCTCCTTTTATGGGGAGATGGGAAGGGATACTACATGCCTCAGTTGTTTTAACACTGCTATGAGCTGCTAAATAATCACAATATTTATTCCAAGAAGCAGCTGTATTTTAAAGGTATGTGTAATGATTCTGATAATCTGCAGTAAGAGAATTATCCTGACACAGATTCCCGCACTGAATAGTTTGCTGAAACATATGACACATATATAGTCTGACGAGATATCTTATATGGAGGTACATCAGTATGTGATTTTGTTTTGGAAGCCATGTGAATGACTGTGTTAAGTGGCAACTTGTTATGGGGATATATTGGAAGGCAGATGTATAAAGCACAGACGAGTTCTGAAAATAGGTGGTGGTTTAAAGGGAACAAAAACTAAGTTTCCCCTCAGCACTTGGCTTGTTTCCTCTGCAAAAGCATCATAAACCACCCATAAAGAAATAACTCGTTTCACAAGTATTCTGGCTTACATAGCCATTGATACAGTATTTTGGGTGTCTCTTTTGCATTCCAGGGACTATGAAACACTGTCTAGATTTGTTGCCTTTGGTCTTCTTAATGTGGTCAAACAAATAAATGGAACGAATAAAGTTCTATTGCCTGACAAGCAGACAAGCACATAGAAAACAAAACAAGAGTAAACCAAAATAAAACAGGGTCAATAAATGCCCTCTACTGAAGTAAAAAAATTTACTAATTTATTTCCTCTTCCAAAACTGCTGAATTAAAAGTTATTTCCCATGGATGAATAGTTCAGATTATTAGTCTCTTCTGTGTCAATGACACCAGCACCTGGGAAAATTAATTACTGCTAAAACATTAATAGCCTAAAACATGACATAGCATAGAATATTAACGACCAGCTGAATGCAGTAGTATAATTTGCTTCCTTTTTTTTCTCTCCTTTTCTTTTGGGAATGCATATTTTAATCCTGTAACAGCATGTCTCAGCAGCAGTGTGCTACAACTGAAGAAATATGCATTTTAGAGTTAGCCATGAAATTAAAGCATTTTGAAAGGCTGTCCCCCTTTTCACAGTGGCAGTTACAGCCAGGCTTCAGTCACTTGTCAGGTGCCACACATTTTTTGAAGACATGGTTTTCTTGAGAAGTAAAACAGTAAAACGGGGGATGGTATGAAACCTCTCTCAACTGTGACCTCCTTAGCATCCCTTGCTCCCCAAAGTCCTCATGCTCAGCACTACTGCCCTTGTTGAGGCTTTGCTGGGCATTTGCATGGGTAATGGGGAACAAGGACCTCGGGGACTGTCTCTTTGCCTTTGTGTGATGGTGTGATGGACATCTTTGTTTCAGGCTCTAGCCCCAGCCATTTCAGATCTAAGCTCCCAGCACTTTCATGCAGGTAGTGTTTGGCCAACTGAGCATGATGAAAGATGTGTCTGCTTTGTCTGAGTTACATCCAAAGTCTGAAGAGTTCCTGTTTGGTCTGGGCAAAACTCCTGATATGGGTAAGAAGGTCTTTTAGGCAGGGACTGAGACAGGAGGGTGGCTGAAATGATAGCTGCCCTCCTGTTGGAGTGGAAAGAAATTCGCAGAGGTCTCTGTGAAATCCACTGCTGCTGCTCCTGGAGAGCTCCCAAGGCTCCTCCATCACCCCATGGGGGCAAAACACTGCAGCAGCAGCTGGGAGATGGTGAGCCGTTTCTCAAGGGCTACCTCTCTCCAGGGCTATCAGAAGAAACGTTCTTCTCTCCCTGCAGCTCTGCTGCCTCGCTTCTACAACATTTTGGCTTGCCCTCGACTAGGAAACCCTTTCCTTGGTTGCTGTTTTCCCTGATTCCGAAGTTGGTATTCACAGGTATACACAACTTCCTATGCATGACTTAATGCTCCCTAAAGGGTGTTGGTGCCCTTCAGCTGTCTTACTAGATGTAAATGTATCTAAGTCACAGAGAAACACTGTTCATAGAAAGAGTAGGCTGGAAGTCATCTAGTCCAATCCACCACTCACAGCAGGGCTGCCTTCCAAGCTAGATTGAATAGCTCAGGGCCTTGTCTAGCCAAAATATCCAAGGAAGGAGATCCCACAGCCTCTCAGGGTAATCTTTCTCAGTGCTGCACCACTCTCGGGGAAGAAGAATCTTCCCTTGTGCCAGGTCAAAGTTTGCCTGGCTGCAACATTTGTCCATCACCTTGAAGTTTCCTGAGTATTTGAAAAACAGCAAGAAGCAGTGACAGGCTCTTGCTGTCCATTGGCATAACTCTGTACATGTAGCTCAGGATGTAGTGTGCAGGATCTGTAGATGTGGATTTTATTGGTAGATGTGGGCTTTATTGGTAAGTGGAACTAAAATGTGTTATTAACTAAGAAAACCACTAGCACAAGTTCCACACTGCTTTCGTTCACTGAAGCCTCCAGACCTCCACCATTGTCTCCTTGCTCAGTTTCATTCTTGTTTTGAGCTGTGCTCTTTCTTCATCCCTGATGTTGCAAATCTGTTCCCCTAGCAAAACTCTGTTGTGCTGCTGTCTCATCTCTCTGTATGCTAAAACTCTCAGCTGGGCTTTCATCTCTTCTTGACATGGCGATAGCCTCTTTGAACGGGCAGTTAGTTCCTTGGGCAATGCTGCTAGCTCCTCATCCTCTTCAACTCTTCCCTAGGTACTGTCCACTGGCAGAGGCAGGGCACTGGGCTAGAGGACCTTTTGCCTGGGTGGCTGTTCCGGTGCCCAGACATGAACCGTTTCTTTCTTGGGTTTCAAAGTTTTAATTATAAGGTTCATTGGTAGCAATCACCGTCCTCAGAACAGGTGCTTCACAATGACCTGCAGATTTGGAAGCATCATTTCTATTTTATAAATGGGAAACTGAGGCTCTGTTGTATAAAGCAACACCCTAAAGGAGCTTTGCAGCATATCTCTTAGCAGTACTGCCTTTCCGATGTCAGAGCACTACCTAAACAGACTCATCTCCCTCAT